CATAGCCAAAAATCCAATGTATTGAAGTATCTCAGTAAAAACGGTACACAAAACCCCCCCCCCCCCCCCCCCCCCTCCCCTTTCCCCACTCCTCCCACAGTAATTGTACGGGTTTTTTTTGGTAATTTCTGAAATAAGCGAAAAGGCAGGTATTTCACGAGGCAGTGGTATTGTATATAAAGGGAATATGTAGATAAGCAAACAATTAAAGCCCGCAAAAACCTGTAAAACAACTGCACAAAAGGACTCGCACATGAATATTACTTAATTTCATTGTATACACACCACCAGATCATTAAATTTAACAAATAAAAAAAGCAGCTGTGAATAAAATACAGTTTATACAAAGGTTCTGCGATGAAACTAGCAGCACAGCTGAAACGGATCGAGCTGAAAAGCCTAAAAATGCTCGGACAACTGATTTTTGACAACCACAGGTAAACAGATTTCTTCTGCACAAAACTTCCGGCTATTCAGGACAAGAAATTCATGCAGTGGAAATCGTCAAATACCAAATGTGCCATATCCGATGATTCATACGCTTCGCGATAAAATTTCATGAACTCTCCTGAAACAAATCAATAATTAAAAGGAAAAGATACAATACACTGAGGGTGGATGAGAAATGATAAAAAAAGTTACTCAAAATGAAACAAGTTACTGCAGACACACACACACAAGCACACACACATACACACATACATACACACACAAATAACTTTGTGACAATATACGTTTTGTACTGTTGTTGCACAGCATTAAACTCATAAGCAAGGATCTACTGAACAAAATCATATGTCTTGAAAACTGCAAATTCAATTCTCCAAAACAAATCGGCGCAATGAGTAGAAGAAAAGACTGAGGGAGAGAGAGCGAAATGAGGAAGAAGAAACAAGGGAGAGGCAAAGAAAGGAAAAGATGTGCTTTTCGAAAGCACTCTTTTAAAGTTTCAACTTAACAGAATTAAAATCCATTATTTTTACGATTTTTGCTGTGGCTCTAGGCAGTTCGGGAACATCGGAAGCCTCTCTGCGGATCATTTTTGGCACATTTTCTCTTCCAAATGATATTCATTATTACTTCATCTGCATGAAGAGGCACATACATACATACATATACATATACACACACACACGCACACACACACACACACTCACACACATACATACATACATACATAATGAAGTGTTACTGACAGATGAGTTACAGTACCATACAAACGGTTGTCGTATCATAACCCCCTTTCAGAGAGGAGCGGTATTAGTGGGGAAAGGAGGGTGGGAGGGGGGAGGGGGTGACCGGTGGAAATGTTAGGACTGCTAAAGCCTTGCATCGCTAAGACCGTCGTTCTCTGGAGACTTATTCGCTGCCCAAAAATGGGCACTGTTTGATTTCAGGATATGTATCAGTTAGTAAAAAAAAAAAAAAAAAACAAAAATAAAAATAACTAAACGTACGAGACGCGTTCTTCTGTTCTGTGTCGCTGGTCCAGCTCAATGCCTTCATTGTTATCCTTTGAAACTCGTCATACGGACAAAAATCCAAATCCTTCGATCGCTTCATCAGATCATTCGCAAGTCGAAATACCTATAATGTGATCTGATGAAAACGCCCGCGGCCCATTTTCACTACCACGCATTTAATAACAGCTCAATCCGAAAAAATACGATAAAAGGATCAAGAGTTAATCCACTTTTTCAAGAAATAAAATTTTCAAATTTTGATCAATTTCCTCAAATTTTTGAAAAAACAATGATTAAACTCACCAAATATTTGATGCAAATTTTTCGTAGATTATTTGCAAATGGCGTTTCGACTAGGGATGGCGCCTCTGCCCTCAAACGACTCGTGAAATCCAATAGCTCTTGAAGCTCAACCTCCTAAAGATATACAAGGATTTTGACAGATTTTGACACTGTAACCCATCACTTTTTCAGTCATTTCGATCTTATGCAGTGTTATTATCCTGGTGAATAATTACGCAAAAGAAATGAGCCTCAGGAAATTCTTAATCGGCAATCCCCAGAGCATTTCCTCTGCCGCGTTAGCAGCCGCAAAACAACGATTTGGGAAAGACAGCCTACGCTGAGCAGGAAAAAAACCACGCTCTAGTGAGGGTATAAAAAATACACCACTCTCATCAGAATCTTGCACTTAAACTCCTGTCACAAAGTTTTTAAATTTTAAAGTTTTTAAGTTTTAAATTTAAATTTCGAAATCTAGTTTTAAATCTAAAAAGTTTTTAAATTCGACTATCGAAATCCTGCACTATAAAAATTTGTTATGGGTTCCAATAGTGTTGCAGCCCGGGTCCGGTCTCGTCGGCTAACCAGGTGCTTCGGCACTTCCCTTGCTAGTTTGGTAGTCGTCGATTCCTTGGCGATATTTCAGGCTTAGTAGTAGGGTCCACGTCCTTCGCTGACCGACGGGGCAGCCTGCACCGTATACGATACAACACAGCACGCCACGGGTTGTTTAACACAGAAACAGCGGCCTTATATAGGCAGTTTGCGCCATTATACAAGCTCTATCTAGGAGGGAGTCATGATGCAACAATAGTAATAAATAGCAACGTGCACCAGACAAGCCGGCGCGATCATGCGTTTTGTGTAATTCAGCCCATCGAACGATTGCCTATTAATGATTTTCACTGCTTTG